TTCTGACAGTTCTAATGAGAGGTTAGAAGTTATCTCCACTGTATGTACAAATACCCGGCCACGTCCACTTGTATGTGTAGTATTTTTATTTTTATCCATCTGATGAGTTAAGCCTCTTTCAACTGATTTTTATAGTTCGTTCTTATGTTGTACTGTTACACCACTGTCCCATGTTAGGGGGAGGGTTTTGATCTCGCTTACATGTTTAACCCCGCCACATTCTGTATGTATGTGCCAGTCCCAAGTCAGGAGCCTGTAATTCAGTGGTTGTCGTTTGTTTATGTGTTACATATTTGTTTTTCGTTCATTTTTGTACATAAATTAGGCCGTTAGTTTTCTCGTTTGAATTGTTTTACATTGTCATTTCGGGGCCTTTTATAGCTGACTGTGCGGTATGGGCTTTGCTCATTGTTGAAGGCCGTACGGTGACCTATAGTTGTCAATTTCTGTGTCATTTGGTCTCTTGTGAAGAGTTGTCTCATTGGCAATCATACCACATCTTCTTTTTTTATATTTGCCGGATTGTTGAAATATACAATGTCACGTGGTAGCCTATCCATAGAGGGAACGTATCAAAGACATAAATAACTACCTGTATAAATGATGGAAAATTTTCGAGACGTTCCGAGAATCGTGATTCCGAGGATATCGAGTGGCCCATAGACACTTTCAAAACTCGCCAATGTATATATATATGGCTATATATATATGTTCCTGAGTATAGGCATGATCTTTTTTTAATCAAATGACAAATTTTACAACTAGAAAATTAAAAAAATCGATGTATTTTACTTTTGATGTATTTATAAAAATAATTATGTCAAAACATTGAGAAACTAAAAATTATTAAGTCAGTGATATATGTATTGTATTACAGTATTTTAATTTTTCTCTATATTCTTTATATTTGTTTTTTTAATCATTTTCTTGTCTTTTTTATTTTCTTGACCATAATTCTTTAGTCTGTAAACCACAACCGGACCCCAGAGCTCTAATCCGACCTTAGATATCAACACAAACGGAGTCACTTTTGAAGGAAATGATTGAATTACAGTATGTTCACGCTTTGCTTACAAGTCTTTGTTAGCGGAAGATGCAGACGAATGTAGGACAGAAAGTCACTGGACAAAAAGTCACAATTCTTTTTTTAATTTTTCTTGAAGATTATATTTAAGGCAATTTTGTAAACAAACTATATTTAAAAAGAAACCAACAATGTTGGAATAACTGTTAAGAAAACATCTTGTCAAAGTGGCTTTGTACTTAAATGGCTTCATGGTGCCAAGAAATATATCCTTGGCATGATTAAAATTTGAAAAATCTTCATTTATCAAGGCTTATTAACCATTTCCTAAACTGTAAAATGAATATATGTAGTAAAAAGGAATGATTTCAAGAACTTTCTCGTATATTTTCTAAAAATTATAAACAAATTCCTTGTGATTTTTTGTCCTGTGACTTTTTGTCCTATCAAATTTGTGATTTTTTGTCCTGTGACTGTCTGTCCGTTTACCGATACAGGCACAGGATCTGTATTTCAAATAGATTGAAAGGAAATGCTGACTGTTCCGAAACCCTTTCGGTTGTTCTCCGTCGGTTCTCTAACGAGGTTCGTAATGCTTAATTCTTAGCTTTCTATATATAGTATAGAAATAAGGAGATGGGATATGAATGCCAATGAGACAACTATCCAACAAAGTTCAAATAAAGTGGATGTAAGCAGTTATAGACAACCGTACGGCCTTCAACAATGAGAAAAACCAATACCGTATAGTGGCCATAAAAGGCCCCGACATGAAATATATGAAACAATTCAAAGGAGAAAACTAGCGGCCTAATTTATAACAAAATAATTAACGAAAATAAAATATGACAGACATGAACCAACGATAACCACTGAACTACAGGCTCCCGACTTGGGACACGCACATAAAGAATGTGACAGGGTTAAACATGTTTGTGAGCGCCCAACCCATCCCCTAACCTGGGACAGTGCATGGTGTTACATCACAACATAAGAACAAACTATGAAAATCAGGAGAAAAGATCTTAACTCATCAGATCGATAATAAGCAGAAAACATCAAACAAAAACACAGACCATGCAGACGTGGCAGTGTATTTATACATCCCTAACAAAAAAAGTACAAATCTGAGAATACTCGCAGTTACTGACAGTTAATTCAAATAAAGACTAATAAAATAAATCACGACGGGTGCCACATGTGGAACAGGATCTACTTACCTTTCCGGATCAACTGAGATCACCCCCAGTTTTTGGTGGAGTTCGTGTTGCTCAGTCGTTGGTTTTCTATGTTGTGTCTTGTGTACTATTGCAGTTTGTTTGTCTTTTTCTTTGGCGTTGTCCGTTTATTTTCGACTTGTGAATTTGAATGTCTCTTTAGTATCTATCCTCTCTCTTTTATTATTGTTGGTCTAACTTAAACTATTTAACTTTAAAGACATAGTCGTAAATCCAGTCGTTTCTCCGAATTTCGTTGTCCTGTACAAACACCATGAGTCTTCAGATTTTATATCAAGGAAATAAATACCATAATATATACTTTTATTTATTTTATTTGGATTGTTCGAATTATTATGATATCAATTATTTTGATTTGAATTTTGATTTGAAATTTAACAGACAATTCCGTTAAATTTGCGGCTTAGTAATATAGGTATCACAAAAATACTTACGACTAAGATTGGTCGTAAGTCATGGACAATTCAGTATACTTACGATCAATCTTAGTCGTAAGTTTTTTTGTGAAACCGACTTATGATAGTAAAAATATAAAGCTTAAAATATTTGTTCTCGTTCTGAACATGCATGAAATATTTAATTGCCAATGGAGTTAAAACAAACCACAAGTAATCAATCAATGAAACACTAGTTCTTAGAATGTAGAAATCTAAAATTTGGAATTCTTGAGTTTTGGAGATAAAAATGTGCTAATTTAATTATCGTCCAAAAATTGCAGGATTGTGTGTTAAAAATTAGCAACATCAATTAACGTTAATTGGTTAAACATGTTCATTAGCGGACTCTCCAAGAGTTGGGATGCAAACAAAATATGACACAGCGGATGCTAGATTTATAAGTAAATTTTGGGCATCGAAAAATATAGTCGTAAAGTTTAATATTTAATGTTTCTTGTATTTTTTGCACACATAAGTTTCAAAATCGAGAAGTTCATGAAACCTATGGGAATTTGAATACTTCTATAAATTATGAAACTGATAGCATCCTGGTAATCATATGATATCTCTTGGTTCAACTTTGTTTCATTTCTGAAAATAATGTCCTTTAAGACTATACATTACTACTGAAACAAGTATGAAACAACATTGCACAGCAGTAGAGTGTACTGGGATTTTGGGATAGCAGAGTTTGTATGAGGGTCTCCGTGGATTGGGAGGGGGAGGGGGAGGGTCCTATATCTAGTTTGTGAGTTTCAGAAATATTGAACACTTTTAAAAAAGGCTCTGACTTGATATGAATTCATGAAAACTGACCGTACCTATATTACATACGTGTTTTGTATAATCTAAACCAAATTAGTTTAATTTGTGTCTGACAGACAATACACAACATACTACTTCCAATAAGATTTAATTTCTGATTTCAAACTTTTGAACGTGGGTTCTTCGTGTTCACCTTTTGGCTAAATTAATGCTCTAAAACTTTTTTTTTAATTTCAATATAGATTTTGATAAATTTAGGAGCTTTTTGGAGGAAGACTGTTTTTTTTTTTGTTGGTTTTTTGGCAGATATTTTATTTCTTGTCCTCCCAACGTATAGCAACAAATTAGCTGAAATGATTAATAAAGCATGCAAACATGTCACAACCGGACCTAACCAGAAATAAGATGCTATAATCTGCCATAGATTAGACCATTGATCGAAGTATTATATTATTGTCATTATACTAATACTTCCAGGAGGATCGGGTGGATGTGTTAATCAATTGAAGTGAGAAAAATCTTACTGGTAAAATCTTCTTGTGGTTATGACTGTTCAGACAACGGATGTCACAAGTGGAGGAACAACTGATTGCCTCCAAAATCAATAACGTTATTGGAGGTTCGATTCGTATTGCTCAATCCTTAGCTCTCGGTATAGTGCTTTTTTTTATACTTTGTTTCCAATTTTTGACTAATTTTCGGGGTCTTTGATAAAATAAATCCGCATAGTAAATGATATACATATGGGAAAAGTGGCAAAAGAAGGAAATATAATGCCCATGCAGTTTTGTCAGTAAAATCAGTCACAGCTAGGAAAATCGAAAATTATTGAAAATGTCATCTTAATAGAAACTCATACGACTTTCTAAGTTCGGTCTGGTACTAATACATTTATCTATTATCTATTAGTCAGGTTGGGTAGCATGAATCGAGGTTTGCCGGGTAGAAATCCGCTGTTGAAGAATGTTATATCTGTTATACGAATTGTAAATGAAACTATTCATTTACTCTGAATTAACTAATAAAGCTACATTATATGTATACATGTGATGAGTCACATACGGTGTCATTTCAATGTTTGTTTTATTGCAATCCCTCTGTCAGCTAAAAAAGTTTTAACACTGACAATTCAAAAATAATGTGTGAGAAATAATCGGATCTTGTTGTGCTAGGACTATCAGTTCCCGATGGTACAATGTGATTACTTGGCACGATTCATATGTTATTAATTCTGTCTGTTAATTTCCAGTTTATAAAATTATGTTGTTGTAAAGCTGTTCTGATCTATCAATCTATCAGTATGGTTGGCAACTCATTCATGTAGACATAGAGCCCACGCGAAGAATTTTATATTTTGTCAGATCTAAATTCACTGGATCGTAAACTTTTTCTTATATATGTAATAATTTTAGTCTGTCTTCATGTAACCTTCTAAAAAGGATCTAAAATCGGACATGCACTCTAAATCAAAATCAAGAGATATTCCGGAATGTTAGGTCTGCGCGGAAATCGTGTTTGGAAAATTCAACACGAACGCTTACTTCCGTTTTCATTTTCTGAAAATATTCTTTTCCACTTTCAGTTTGGCAGCAGGTTTTCCAACTTGCACTGTTTGCTGTCAAGACAAAAATGGTTTCCTGTAATATAATATTGGCCGAAAACATTATAGGTATAAATACTTTACAGTAAATCATGTAATCTTGAAGTTCATTTTTTACTGGTTACAAAATTAATGACAAATTAATGTTGTGCAACAGTTTCACAAACCTGAGACTACTATATGTGTTATAGTAGTCTCAGCACAAACATCATAAAATCGAACAGTTAATTTCTCATGCTTATTTGGGACTGTTCAATTATGGTACCATAATCGGTTGATAAAATCTGTCAATGTCCTTATGTCTAAGTTATGAGACTAACTGATGTTACCACATTTAAATAAGACACTGTCAAGGATTATGAATTTATGTGGAAATGTAACGATAATAACAAAAAAGTTATTGTTACCTTAGACAGGCATGACAGGAAGGTCTATTAACATGACTGTCACAGTTATTTTCGATACGTTTTCATCTGTAACTTTCGTTTTACTCAACATATTGTTAAAATTTAAACTATAATAAAGAACACATGAACGGGATATATTTACTTACATTATTTGTAGTTTTAAAAAATAAAAAAAATTAAGAAGTAAAAAAAAATCTGCCAGACAGTTATTTTATGTTCATTGGAAATTTTGAAGTATAAGCTTTAAGAAATTATAAAATTTTATGAACTTTTATTTTGTAAACCCCAAAAAACTCTGCCAGTACAGTAGCTTATTACGTCATAAATATTGTTGAAATACGCTCAAAATCAAAATATATAAAGTTTAATATCTTCTTCAAAATGAATGTCTGGTAAACGGAAAGTTTAAAATATAAGCTTTATGAAAATATAAAAAATTTATTGACTTTTATTTTGTTAACACAAAAATCTTCCAGGACAATAGCCTATTACCATGATTACCATGATTACGTTAAAATTTCTGTATAAATTGCGAAAATTAACAACGAAATTTTTGACTATAAATGAAATAGTTTCTTTTATATTACGATTGTCTGGTATACTATTTTGATATTATTAAAAAGTAACAGACCCAATCATTAAATAAAATCAAGTGAAAAAAAAATCTGCCAGACAGTTAAATTTTAAGAAAAATATGGCAGAAAATGCAGAGAAAAGTTTACTTACAATGAAATAATTTCCCCAAAACAACTTTCTGGCATAACATTTTTGTACTATTATAAAGTTTAGGGAAAAATCATTTAAAAAATCTATAATTTAATATTTTTTTCGTCTTTTAAAGGTAAAAAAATCTGCCAGGATAGTAGCCTATTACGTTAGAAATTCGGTTGAAATTTGCTCAAAATCAAAATATAAAGTTGAATATCCTCTTCAAAATGAATGTCTGGCATGTCTGGTAAGCAAATTTTTGTTCATTGGAAAGTTTAAAATATAAGCTTTATGAAATTATAAAAAATTAGGAACTTTTATTTTGTTAACACAAAAAAAATCTGCCAGAACAGTAGCCTGTTACGAAAGAAATTTTGTTGAAATTCGCTCATAATCAATAGATAACGTAGAATATCTTCTTCAAAATGAATGTCTGGTAAGCAAATGTTTGATCATTGGAAAGTTTAGAATATAAGCTTTATGAAAATATAAAAAAAATAGGAACTTTTATTTCGTTGCCACAAAAAAAATCTGCCAGGACAGTAGCCTATTATGTCAGAAATTTTGTTGAAATTTGCTCAAAATAAATAGATAAAATTGAATATCTTCTTCAAAATGCCTGTCTGGCAATCAAATTTTTGTTCATTGGAAATTTTGAAGTATAAGCTTTAAGAAAATATAAAATTTTATGAACTTTTATTTTGTAAACCCCAAAAAACTCTGCCAGTACAGTAGCTTATTACGTCAGAAATATTGTTGAAATACGCTCAAAATCAAAATATATAAAGTTTAATATCTTCTTCAAAATGAATGTCTGGTAAACGGAAAGTTTAAAATATAAGCTTTATGAAAATATAAAAAATTTATTGACTTTTATTTCGTTAACACAAAAATCTTCCAGGACAATAGCCTATTACCATGATTACCATGATTACGTTAAAATTTCTGTATAAATTGCGAAAATTAACAACGAAATTTTTGACTATAAATGAAATAGTTTCTTTTATATTACGATTGTCTGGTATACTATTTTGATATTATTAAAAAGTAACAGACCCAATCATTAAATAAAATCAAGTGAAAAAAAAATCTGCCAGACAGTTAAATTTTAAGAAAAATATGGCAGAAAATGCAGAGAAAAGTTTACTTACAATGAAATAATTTCCCCAAAACAACTTTCTGGCATAACATTTTTGTACTATTATAAAGTTTAGGGAAAAATCATTTAAAAAATCTATAATTTAATATTTTTTTCGTCTTTTAAAGGTAAAAAAATCTGCCAGGATAGTAGCCTATTACGTTAGAAATTCGGTTGAAATTTGCTCAAAATCAAAATATAAAGTTGAATATCCTCTTCAAAATGAATGTCTGGCATGTCTGGTAAGCAAATTTTTGTTCATTGGAAAGTTTAAAATATAAGCTTTATGAAATTATAAAAAATTAGGAACTTTTATTTTGTTAACACAAAAAAAATCTGCCAGAACAGTAGCCTGTTACGAAAGAAATTTTGTTGAAATTCGCTCATAATCAATAGATAACGTAGAATATCTTCTTCAAAATGAATGTCTGGTAAGCAAATGTTTGATCATTGGAAAGTTTAGAATATAAGCTTTATGAAAATATAAAAAAAAAAGGAACTTTTATTTCGTTGCCACAAAAAAAAACTGCCAGGACAGTAGCCTATTATGTCAGAAATTTTGTTGAAATTTGCTCAAAATAAATAGATAAAATTGAATATCTTCTTCAAAATGCCTGTCTGGCAATCAAATTTTTGTTCATTGGAAATTTTGAAGTATAAGCTTTAAGAAAATATAAAATTTTATGAACTTTTATTTTGTAAACCCTAAAAAAACTCTGCCAGTACAGTAGCTTATTACGTCAGAAATATTGTTGAAATACGCTCAAAATCAAAATATATAAAGTTTAATATCTTCTTCAAAATGAATGTCTGGTAAACGGAAAGTTTAAAATATAAGCTTTATGAAAATATAAAAAATTTATTGACTTTTATTTCGTTAACACAAAAATCTTCCAGGACAATAGCCTATTACCATGATTACCATGATTACGTTAAAATTCTGTATAAATTGCGAAAATTAACAACGAAATTTTTGTCTATAAATGAAATAGTTTCTTTTATATTACGATTGTCTGGTATACTATTTTGATATTATTAAAAAGTAACAGACCCAATCATTAAATAAAATCAAGTGAAAAAAAAATCTGCCAGACAGTTAAATTTTAAGAAAAATATGGCAGAAAATGCAGAGAAAAGTTTACTTACAATGAAATAATTTCCCCAAAACAACTTTCTGGCATAACATTTTTGTACTATTATAAAGTTTAGGGAAAAATCATTTAAAAAATCTATAATTTAATATTTTTTTCGTCTTTTAAAGGTAAAAAAATCTGCCAGGATAGTAGCCTATTACGTTAGAAATTCGGTTGAAATTTGCTCAAAATCAAAATATAAAGTTGAATATCCTCTTCAAAATGAATGTCTGGCATGTCTGGTAAGCAAATTTTTGTTCATTGGAAAGTTTAAAATATAAGCTTTATGAAATTATAAAAAATTAGGAACTTTTATTTTGTTAACACAAAAAAAATCTGCCAGAACAGTAGCCTGTTACGAAAGAAATTTTGTTGAAATTCGCTCATAATCAATAGATAACGTAGAATATCTTCTTCAAAATGAATGTCTGGTAAGCAAATGTTTGATCATTGGAAAGTTTAGAATATAAGCTTTATGAAAATATAAAAAAAATAGGAACTTTTATTTCGTTGCCACAAAAAAAATCTGCCAGGACAGTAGCCTATTATGTCAGAAATTTTGTTGAAATTTGCTCAAAATAAATAGATAAAATTGAATATCTTCTTCAAAATGCCTGTCTGGCAATCAAATTTTTGTTCATTGGAAATTTTGAAGTATAAGCTTTAAGAAAATATAAAATTTTATGAACTTTTATTTTGTAAACCCTAAAAAAACTCTGCCAGTACAGTAGCTTATTACGTCAGAAATATTGTTGAAATACGCTCAAAATCAAAATATATAAAGTTTAATATCTTCTTCAAAATGAATGTCTGGTAAACGGAAAGTTTAAAATATAAGCTTTATGAAAATATAAAAAATTTATTGACTTTTATTTCGTTAACACAAAAATCTTCCAGGACAATAGCCTATTACCATGATTACGTTAAATTTCTGTATAAATTGCGAAAAAATTAACAACGAAATTTTTGACTATAAATGAAATAGTTTCTTTTATATTACGATTGTCTGGTATACTATTTTGATATTATTAAAAAGTAACGACCCAATCATTAAATAAAATCAAGAAAAAACAAATCTGCCAGGACACTAGCTTATTATGTCTTAACTTGTGAAGAAATTTGTTTAAAATCAAAATACAATGTTTAATATCTTCTTAAAAATAATTGTCTCAAATGAAATTGTTATTTCTTATTAAAGTTTTCAGTTCTACATTCAGAAATATGAAAATCAATCTATGTATTTATATATAAATCTGTCGGTACAGTAGATTATAATGTTTAGATTTTAAAGTTATCTTTATTTTTTATTGGTATTGTATTAATTGTAAATTTTGAATAGAGTCTCTGGTTTGAACAATAAATAATAAGAAATATAAAAATTTTCAATTCATGATAAGTTGATACCTCAATCTGCCCGAACAGTCGTCCTTTAGCTAAATATTTGGTTGGCACGTTCCAAACTTTACGGCAAGTCTTTTCATCTGTGTAAGAAAGGCAACATTTGGAAACATGTTTTGTGTACTGGGTTAACAGAAGGTGACACATTCCTGTGATCTGAACACATTTCTAATTAGTTAGATAGTGAATAAACACCTTTAAAAGGATTTGACACCAATTAGTGACTGCAGAGACATATATACACATGTATATATGTCTCTGGTGACTGTGAAGCTTTTATCACTGTCAAAACATAATTTACCTGACTTATAAGTTCAAATTTTGCTTCTTATTTATAATAATAAGATTAGTTTGTTGTTTTTAACATTTGTGTTATTTTATTGTATTTTATAGTTATATATATATGTATGTGTAAAAAATATGAACATAACAATAATATTTGTGTCTACCGTTACATTGCGTTATTGTTATGTTAGATTTAATAAACTTTTAATCGACTTTAGTTTTGTTGCTGAATTCTGATATACTTGATAACGATAATGATGATAATAATAATAATAATGTTGTTTTTGTTCTTAAAAAAAGTGTTCACTTCTGTGTATTTATCTGCACACTTACATTTTGTACCCTTATTTTAACTGTCAAAATACTTTGAACAATGGACATATTTATTCCCATTACCAAATTTTCTTTGGTAGAAAAATTTAAAACTTTGCGTTTGAATAAAAACTGAAAAAATATCAAGATTCAAATTTTATACAGTTATATATACGAAGGTCGCGAATAATTGATACATCAATAGCAAAGTTTGACAGCAGTGAACTAAAATATTGTGAACTTGTGTATGCATGTATCCACAGAGGATGGAATTTCGTTTCAAAATCAGATTGAATTCTTGATGAACTGTTTAAAAGAGCATGTACCATTATTAATAGTTCTAAGGGAACGACCATTTAACTTCAAAGGGGGGGGGGTTATGGTTTTTTCCTCAAAAAATATTCTGATCCCCAATTTGATGAAAAAAAAAATTGTGGTCAAGCAGATGACAAAAAAAAAAATATTCTGAATCCAGATTTTCCCCATACCTTAAAGTGTGAAATTTAAAAAAAAATAATTTGATTGATAGGGTCCAAAAGATTTTTTAATTGGGTTTTAACAATATACACATTTGTACTTAATCCTAACTAATTAACACACAAAATGAACAATGTAAGGTCTGTCAGAGTAAACAGTGTTCACTGCAGCAATATCTGTCAGGGGTAATACTTATACAAGTGTTTTTTATTTACTGGTACAGGGAAATTATTTTGGAGGTAAAGTTATATCCCTCAGAAGTTAGACATTTAGTCTTTTTTACTTATATAAGTAAAAGTCTTATTTTCTTCTTCTCTTGACTACATTGCTCTAATAATGTATTTAGTTGTCTGTCATTAATAGTTGTCTTTACTATCCCTATAAGTATAATTTCATGGACAATGAAAATCTCATTTGTCTGCTATCTTCAAAATACTGCTCACTTACAAGCCTCCAGGGAGAAATTTCTGAAGGCTATGCACAGTTACTTAACATCTCTGCGCAATAGATTTCTTTGCTTAGTTCTTGAGATAAAAGGTTGAACTCTAATTTTAAATCAATGAGTAAGACAGAAAAATTCTGTTTAGGCATGTTTTGACCTCCCAAAACTTGAGAATTTAATGGGTTGTAAAAAAAAAATTACTTGTATAAGTAAATTTTTGGAGAAGATTCAAGGGGGATATTTCAAACCTGAAAAATAAAATAAAAATCCTACAAATTTACTTAAACAAGTAAATATTACTTACATCTTCAGGTGAATAAAAATGACTTGTATAAGTATTACCACTGACTGAATATGTAGTACTATTTATAAATCCAATCTCAATATTTATATATTATTTTTCTGCTGTGAATGTTGTGTTTTTGTGATCAGATATGTATATTTTTTATAAGAATTAGAGGTAAGAAATTAAGAAAGTTTTTGCATATTTAGGCTTGTTGTATTAATTTGCTGTTAAATTATATTTGAAATTCATTTAACAAACAGTTAAAGATGAAGTCAATCCTTTGAAATAAAAAAAGTGGTTATCACAATTTTACATAAGTCGATCAGGACAAAGTTTACAGTGGTCAGGTATAAAATAATGAGATGTGCATGTGGTATAAATGCCAATGAAACAACTCTCTACCATGAGACCAAATTAAATGATGGAGATATTAGTGACTACAGGTCGATCACCATACAGCCTTACCATGGCAAGCTAGAAAATGTAAAATAGAAAAAAAAATCCATTGAGAAAATCATCGACCTGATTCAAGTTAAAGAAAACAAACAAATATAAAAATATAATATACATCAAAAATTGATATTTTTTTTTTGTATTTTAAGGAATTTGATAGCAGACTTTGAATGGTCTCTGTTGAATTATTTATATAAAAGTTATCTAGACTGGGCAACTTATAGCTGAGGTTTTAGATATTTGGGTCTTTTTAACAACCCTGCATACCAGAGGTAGCCACTTAAATGTATTGAAGATTTTACTGGGTTAACTCATGTTTATAAAACTACAACTTGTTGTTTGGTGTTTTTTCAGATCTGAGTGTATCCTGAACTGATAAATGAAGTTTAAGGCCACTGATGATATGTGTGATGGTGGAATTTATCAATCTTCTAAAGAAAGTAATACAATGATTGAATTATTGTCATCACCTAAGTCAACAGTAGGATGTATGGTAGTAAGTAACTTAAGTCGGTGAATTGTTTCACATTTTGTCATATCAGGGACTTTTATAGCTGATTATAGTATGAGTTTTGATGATTGTTGAAGGCTTTATACTACAGTGACCTATAGTTGCTTAAATCCACATTTTTTGGACTGTATTGTATAAATTTGTATCATTGGCAATCATACTACATCTCCTTATTTTTTATACGACCGCAAAAATTGAAAATTTTTTGGTCGTATATTGGTATGACGTTGGCGTCGTCGTCGTCGTCGTCGTCGTCGTCGTCGTCGTCGTCGTCTGGCGTCGTCCGGCGTCGTCCGAAGACACATTGGTTTTCGCACTCTAACTTTAGTTTAAGTGAATGGATCTCCATGAAATTTTACCATAAGGTTCAATACCACGAAAGGAAGGTTGGGATTGATTTTGGGGGTTATGGTACCAACAGTTAAGGAATTAGGGGCCAAAAAGGGGCCAAAAATAAGCATTTTTGTAATTCCAGACAATAACTTGTGTGTAAGTGTATGGATCTCTCTGACATTGTACCACAAGGTTCCATATCACAAAGGGAATGCTGTAATTGATTTTGGGGGTAATTGCCTCAAAATTTTTGGAATTAGGGGCCAAAAAAGGGGCAAAAAACAAGCATTTTTCTAGTTTCATGACAATAACTTGTGTGTAAGTGTTTGGATATTTCTGAAATTGTACTACAAGGTTCCATATCACAAAGGGAAAGCTGGAATTGAGTTTGGGGGTAATTGCCCGAAACGTTTAGGAATTGGGGGCCAAAAAGGGGCCAAAAATAAGCATTTTTCTAGTTTCCAGACAATAACTTGTGTTCAAGTGTATGGATCTCTCTGAAATTGTACTGCAAGGTACCATACCACAAAGGGAAGGCTGGGATTGAGTTTGGGGGTGATGAATCATAAGGGGGTTCAAAAAATTTGGGGGGGGGATTTTTTTCTTTTCTTTTTTTTTCTTTTTTTCCTTTTTTTTTCTTTTAAAATTTTCCATTTTAAGTTGGTTATTTCTGATTAATATTTAAAAGCAAATAATAATGATATGGTAGGAGTTACACACCAAACAGGATGTGTAAATTATTATATAATAAGTATTGTGCAATAGCAAGAAATTTTCAATTGCACAGTATTGCACAATTGCAAGAAATCTTCAATTGCACAGTATTGCGCAATAGCAAGAAATCTTCAATTGCACAGTATTGCGCAATAGCAAGAAATATCCAATAGCACAATATTGCGCAATAGCAAGAAATTGTCAATTGTACAGTATTGCACAATAGCAAGAAATATTCAATTGCACAGTATTGTGCAAAAGAAGATACTTCGTATAAATTGCTTATTTCTTGATCAATTTCAATGGGGTTTTATTCTTGAATTCTTGGGGTTCTTTAATATGCTGAATCTAACCGTGTATTAAGTTTTTGGATTTTGGGCCCCGTTTTTAAATTGGTCTACATTAAGGTCAAAAGGGTCCAAAATTAAACTTTGTTTGATTTCAACAAAAATTGAATATATGGGGTTCTTTGATATGCTGAATCTAACCATGTATTTAGATTTTTGATTTTTGGGCCCCGTTATCAACTTTGTCCACATTGAGGTCAAAAGGGTCCAAAATTAAACTTTGTTTGATTTCATCCAAAATTGAATTCTTGGGGTTCTTTGATATGCTGAATCTAACCATGTATTTAGATTTTTTATTTGTGGACCCGCTATCAAATTGGTTCATATTGAGGTCAAAAGGGTCCAAAATTAAACTTTGTTTGATTTCATCAAAAATTGAATTATTGGGGTTCTTTGATATGCCAAATCTAACTGTGTATTTAGATTTTTAATTTTGGGTCCCGTTTTTAAATTGGTCTACATTAAGGTCCAAAGGGTCCAAAATTAAACTTAGTTTGATTTTAACAAAAATTGAATTCTTGGGGTTCTTTGATATGCTGAATCTAAACATGTGTATAGAATTTTGATTATGGGCCCAGTTTTCAAGTTGGTCCAAGTTGGGGTCCAAAATTAAACTTTGTTTGATTTCAACAAAAATTGAATATATGGGGTTCTTTGATATGCTGAATCTAAACATGTATTTAGATTTTAGATTTTTGGCCCAGTTTTCAAGTTGGTCCAAATTGGGGTCCAAAATTAAACTTTGTTTGATTTCAACAAAAATTGAATATATGGGGTTCTTTGATATGCTGAATCTTACCATGTATTTAGATTTTTTATTTGTGGGCCCGCTATCAAATTGGTTCATATTGAGGTCAAAAGGGTCCAAAATTAAACTTTGTTTGATTTCATCAAAAATTTAATTATTGGGGTTCTTTGATATGCCAAATCTAACCGTGTATTTAGATTTTTAATTTTGGGTCCCGTTTTTTAAATTGGTCTACATTAAGGTCCAAAGGGTCCAAAATTAAACTTAGTTTGATTTTAACAAAATTGAATTTTTGGGGTTCTTTGATATGCTGAATCTAAACATATGTTTAGATTTTTGATTATGGGACCAGTTTTCAAGTTGGTCCAAGTTGGGGTCCATAATTAAACTTTGTTTGATTTCAACAAAAATTGAATATATGGGGTTCTTTGATATGCTGAATCTAAACATGTATTTAGATTTTTGATTTTTGGCCCAGTTTTCAAGTTGGTCCAAATTGGGGTCCAAAATTAAACTTTGTTTGATTTCAACAAAAATTGAATATATGGGGTTCTTTGATATGCTGAATCTTACCATGTATTTAGATTTTTTATTTTGTAGGCCCGCTATCAAATTGGTTCATATTGTGGTCAAAAGGGTCCAAAATTAAACTTTGTTTGATTTCATCAAAAATTGAATTATTGGGGTTCTTTGATATGCCAAATCTAAACGTGTTTTTAGATTTTTAATTTTGGGTCCCGTTTTTTAAATTGGTCTACATTAAGGTCCAAAGGGTCCAAAATTAAACTTAGTTTGATTTTAACAAAAATTGAATTCTTGGGGTACTTTGATATGCTGAATCTAAACATGTGTTTAGATTTTTGATTATGGGACCAGTTTCCAAGTTTGTCCAAGTTGGGGTCCAAAATTAAACTTTGTTTGATTTCAACAAAAATTGAATATATGGGGTTCTTTGATATGCTGAATCTAACCATGTATTTTGATTTTGGACATTGGACCATAATAGGTAAATTAAAAAAATTGAAGTTCTTAGACCACATTCTTTCTGTGTCAGAAACCTATGCTGTGTCAAATATTTAATCACAATCCAAATTCAGAGCTGTATCAAGCTTGAATGTTGTGTCCATACTTGCCCCAACTGTTCAGGGTTCGACCTCTGCGGTCGTATCAAGCTGCGCCCAGCGAAGCATTTTATTAATTACTGGGAAATAAAATTGAGAGTGGAAATGGGGAATGTGTCAAACAGACAACAACCCGAACTAGAGAGCATAAAACAGCCCAAGGCCACCAATGGGTCTTCAACACAGCGAGAAAATCCAGCACCCGGAGGCAGGCTTCAGCTGGTCCCTAAACAAAAATGTGTACTAGTTCAGTGAAAATGGACTTCACACTAAACTCCGAAACATATAAATGAACTAAAATTAAAAAAAACATACAAGACTAACAAAGGCCAGAGGCTCCTGACTTGGGACAGGCGCAAAATGCAGTGGGGTTAAACATGTTTTGTGATATCTCAACCCTCCCCCTATACCTCTAGCCAATGTAGAATAAACAAACACACAGCAATACGCACAGTAATACTCAGTTTAAAAAAAGTTTGAGTTCGATGTCAGAATAAGTTGCAGAAAAAACTAAGCAAAATGACTATTGATTTTACATTTTGCTTCATTTGTGGGAATATTTAACCTTGGATTGATTTTTTTTGTGATAGAGGATGTACCCACTATAATTGTGAAGACATCATAAGGCCTATTTACAGTCACATGGCTTCATATGTGTTTCCAGTTTACTTTTATTATAAACACATAATGTGTTCATAATAAAAGTAAACTGAAAAGACAAATTTTATGAATGAACTACGTGTATCTAATTATAATATAATGGATTATAAGAAACAAGCAGTTAAATTAGCATCTATTGAAAAATCCTTGAAAAAACATAGTTGATTCTCTGTTGAAGTTCATGTGGTTAGCACTCGATTTCTTTTTGTATTGCATGTAGTGAGTAAGTTGGTGATGTCTTCCTGTCATTGACCCATGTCCGTTCTTTTTCATATGTTATGATAACATTACTAATTGTAATTTCCGATCAAAACCAGCTGACAGTGTGAGAAAAAGTTGTTGGACATTTCCAAATGAAAAAAAAAAACAACAAACAATTCCAAGTAGCCAGAAAATGTAATTTGCCAATTCTATAAATAACAACAAAGATGATCTCTCAAACTGTATCATAGGTGTCCTATTCTGTGGCTGCATGATCATGGTAGCCCGTGGAAGTGCCAATCCGTGCCTGAAAATTATTATTATATTTTAATTTTTTTTTTGGAAAGAGGGGGTGCAATTGCACCTGACGCACCCCCCTCCCCTTCCGACGGCCTTGACATCAACCACCAATATTGGATTTCTCTCAGAAAAAATCAGATATACAAAAAAGGACATCATGGACATCAGATTACAAAAAACAAAATCTCTTGATACAAATTAAAGGGTTTCATGCAACCATCCATTTGGCATAAAAAATTACAAGACAATCTCTGCTGCCAAAACTGATGTACTTGATAACTCAAGTATTTTCTTTTGGGCCCCAAATTCTGCATTTATGGAATCTTGACCAAAACTACCAAAAGTGCTATATATGTCCGACTGGTAGGTTTCATCTTACCTTGACCTCATTTTCATGATTCAATGGTCAATATTCAATTTGTGTGTTATTGTCTGTTTCTCATATATTATAAGCTATAGGTCAACTTTATGTGTTGCTGCATTTGTTTTTGTTAAGACGCTTATGCCATTTTGGTAGAGCTGTTTTTTCATATTTGTTTTCAAATATTAATGAGTTTTTTTTCTTTTTCAGACTGGATTAATTGTCTTTTATATATTATCTCAGTTTACTGGAGCCCTGTTTATAGTATGCACCTTACTGTTAGGGATTGTTTTATTCTGTTTGTCAAAAATAACAGGGCAATCGGGCAGTACAAGGTAAGGAGTACAGTTATTGAAAGTCAGTGCATCTGTACATTGCTTGATTTAACCTGAATGAAATCTGAAATATTTCTAGAAATATTAAGGGCTGTTTCATATAAAAAGACATCTTATTTGCTTTTAGTTTTTGTTTTGAACATAAATTAGGCCGTTGGTTTTCACATTTGTATTATTTCACTATTTGTCATGTCGGGGCCTTTTATGTGTTATTATATAGTATAGGTTTTGCTCATTATTTAAGGCAAAATAGTCACCTATATATAGATATAAGAAGATGTGGTATGAGTGCCAATGAGACAACTCTTCATCCAAGTCACAATTTGTAAAAGTAAACCATTATAGGTCAAAGGACGGCCTTCAACACCTATCAGCAAGCTATAAAGCGCCCCAAAAATGACTAGTGTAAAACCATTCAAACAGGAAAACCAACAGTCTAATCTATATTAAAAAACGAGAACCTATAGATGCTTACATCTACATCATTTGTTCTTTGGTGGATAGTTGTCTCATTGGGAATCATACCGCATCTTCTTATTTTTATACGACCGCAAAAAAATTTTGTGGTCGTATATTGGTATGACGTTGGCGTCGTCGTCGTCGTCGTCGTCCGGCGTCGTCGTCCGAATACATATTGGTTTTCGCACTCTAACTTTAGTTTAAGTGAATGGATCTTTTTGAAATTTGACCATAAGGTTAAATACCACAAAAGGAAGGTTGGGATTGATTTTGGGGGTTATGCTACCAACAGTTAAGGAATTAGGGGCCAAAAAGGGGCCAAAAATGAGCATTTTCTAGTTTCCAGACAATAACTGTGGAACGGTGTATGGATCTCTCTGAAATTATACTACAAGTTTCCATACCACAAAGGGATGGTTAGGATTTGCTTTGGGGGGTTATGGCTCAAACCGTTTAGGAATTAGGGGCAAAAAAGGGGGAAAAACAAGGTTGTCCTGGTTAATGGACAAATACTTTAGTACAAAACATAATTTAAAGCAGTGTAAGGGAGATAAATCAAATACCTCATTGAAATTATCTCCCTTACACTGCTTTTAAATTATGTATAAAGTAATGGTTAATGAACAATAAAGATAATCTAAAACAGTGTAAGGGAGGTAATCCAAATACAACGTTTTGGTTACTTCCCTTACACTGATTTTAAATTATGTTTAAAGAAATGCATATTTATAAAGGAAGACCAGTAAAAATATCTGCAAATGTTTTCATCTTTTTTTTTTACAAAAAAATCCATATGAAAGATTTGACACTATATTTTTATTAATTCTATTATAAAATAGATTAAGTTAGCACTATGGCAAATTTAAATGGGTAATTATGGTTGCCAACTCCATTGGAAATTTGAATTGAGATTATGACCATATCTTGAGGGAAAGAATTTTTTTGGGGGAAAAGGGGGGGGGGATAAAAAGAAATTGTGGGGGGCCAATTTTTTCTCATTTCAGATTTCAGAAATTAAAAAGAATTATTCTTCAAATATTATTTTTTTTTCAAATTTCAAATATTGAAAAATTTCAAGAAGTAATCTTTAATTGCACAGTATGGCGCATTAGATTTGTAAAATCTTTGATCACATTTATTTATTTGTTATGCCGAATCTAACAGTGTATTTAGATTTTTAATTTTGGGTCCAGTTTTCAAATTGGTCTACATTAATGTCCAAAGGGTCCAAAATTAAACTTTGTTTGATTTTAGCAAAAATTGAATATATGAGGTTCTTTGATATGCTGAATCTAAACATGTATTTAGATTTTTGATTTTTGGCCCAGTTTTCAAGTTGGTCCAAATTGGGGTCCAAAATTAAACTTTGTTTGATTTCAACAAAAATTGAATATATGGGGTTCTTTGATATGCTGAATCTAACCATGTATTTAGATTTTTTATTTGTGGACCCCGTTATCTAATTGGTTCATATTGAGGTCAAAAGGGTCCAAAATTAAACTTTGTTTGATTTCATCTAAAATTGAATTATTGGGGTTCTTTGATATTCCAAATCTAACCGTGTATTTAGGTTTTTAATTTTGGGTCCTGTTTTTTAAATTGGTCTACATTGAGGTCCAAAGGGTCCAAAATTAAACTTAGTTTGATTTTAACAAAAATTGAATTCTTGGGGTTCTTTGATTTGCTGAATCTAAACATGTGTTTAGATTTTTGATTATGGGCCCAGTTTTCAAGTTGGTCCAAGATAGGGTCCAGTATTTAAACTTTGTTTGATTTCAACAAAAATTGAATATATGGGGTTCTTTGATATGCTGAATCTAAACATGTATTTAGATTTTTAATTATGGGCCCAGTTTTCAAGTTGGTCCAAATTGGGGTCCAAAATTAAACTTTGTTTGATTTCAACAAAAATTGAATATATGAGGTTCTTTGATATGCTGAATCTAACCATGTATTTAGATTTTTTATTTGTAGGCACCGCTATCAAATTGGTTCATATTGAGGTCAAAAGGGTCCAAAATTAAACTTTGTTTGATTTCATCGAAAATTGAATTATTGGGGTTCTTTGATATGCCAAATCTAACCGTGTTTTTAGATTTTTAATTTGGGTCCCGTTTTTTAAATTGGTCTTCATTGAGGTCCAAAGAGTCCAAAATTAAACTTAGTTTGATTTTAACAAAAATTGAATTCTTGGGGTTCTTTGATATGCTGAATCTAAACATGTGTTTAGATTTTTGATTATGGGCCCAGTTTTCAAGTTGGTGTAAGTTGGGGTCCAAAATTAAACTTTTTTTGATTTCAACAAAAATTGAATATATGGGGTTCTTTGATATGCTGAATCTAACCATGAATTTAGAATTTTTATTTGTGGGCCCCGCTATCAAATTGGTTCATATTGAGGTCAAAAGGGTCCAAAATTAAACTTTGTTTGATTTCATCAAAAATTGAATTATTAGGGTTCTTTGATATTCCAAATCTAACCGTGTATTTAGATTTTTAATTTTATGTCCCGTTTTTTAAATTGGTCTACATTAAGGTCCAAAGGGTCCAAAATTAAACTTAGTTTGATTTTAGCAAAAATTGAATTCTTGGGGTTCTTTGATATGCTGAATCTAAACATGTGTTTAGATTTTTGATTATGGGCCCAGTTTTCAAGTTTGTCCAAGTTGGGGTCCAAAATTAAACTTTGTTTGATTTTAACAAAAATTGAATATATGGGGTTCTTTGATATGCTGAATCTAACCATGTATTTTGATTTTGGACATTGGACCATAATAGGTAAATTAAAAAAATTCAAGTTCTTAGACCACATTCTTTCTGTGTCAGAAACCTATGCTGTGTCAAATATTTAATAACAATCCAAATTCAGAGCTGTATCAAGCTTGAATGTTGTGTCCATACTTGCCCCAACTGTTCAGGGTTCGACCTCTGCGGTCGTATCAAGCTGCGCCCCAGCGAAGCATTTTATTTATGCTACCTAGGGAAGGCACATTGTAAATTCAGTAACAGTCTATAAAGGTAATTTTATAATTTTCTTTCATTTTTACTGTACAAAATAGTCTATAAAACACTCATCCCTGGTTGAGATTTGGAAATGATTTCTCTTTGTTACATGTATATTTTTACAGAACATCCAAAAGTACTAATTCCTTGGCTTAATCAAACAAAATTGGCAATATGCCTATTGAAATATGTGCATTAGAAATATTATATTTGCATATCAAAATGAAAAGTTATTCCATATTTACTCTAACTTTTTATACGACCGCAAAAAAAACTTTTGTGGTCGTATATTGGTATGACGTTGGCGTCGTCGTCGTCCGGCGTCGGCGTCGTCGTCCGGCGTCGTCCGAAGACACATTGGTTTTCGCACTCTAACTTTAGTTTAAGTGAATGGATCTTTATGATATTTTACCACAAGGTTCAATACCACAAAAGGAAGGTTGGGATTGATTTTGGGGGTTATGGTAATAACAGTAAAGGAATTAGGGGCCAAAAAGGGGCCAAAAATAAGCATTTTTGTAACTTCCAGACATAACTTGTGTGTTAGTGTATGGATCTCTCTGACATTGTACCACAAGGTTCCATATCACTAAAGGAATGCTGGGATTGATTTTGGGGGTAATTGCCTCCAAATTTTAGGAATTAGGGGCCAAAAAAGGGGCAAAAAACAAGCATTTTTCTAGTTTCATGACAATAACTTGTGTGTAAGTGTATTGATCTTTCTGAAATTGTACTACAAGGTTCCATATCACAAAGGGAAAGCTGGGTTTGAGTTTGGGGGTAATTGCCCTAAACGTTTAGGAATTTGGGGCCAAAAAGGGGCCAAAAAACACATTTTTTTCTAGTTTCCAGACAATAACTTGTGTTCAAGTGTATGGATCTCTCTGAAATTGTACTGCAAGGTACCATACTACAAAGGGAAGGCTGGGATTGAGTTTGGGGGTGATGAATCATAATGGGGGTTCAAAAAATTTTGGGGGGGGATTTATTTTTTTTTCCTTTTTTGTTTCTTTTAAAATTTTCCATTTTAAGTTGGTTATTTCTGATTTATATTTAAAATCAAATAATAATGATATGGTAGGAGATACACACCAAACAGGATGTGTAAATTATTATATAATAAGTATTGTGCAATAGCAAGAAATTTTCAATTGCACAGTATTGCACAATAGCAAGAAATCTTCAATTGCACAGTATTGCGCAATAGCAAGAAATCTTCAATTGCACAGTATTGCGCAATAGCAAGAAATATCCAATAGCACAATATTGCGCAATAGCAAGAAATTGTCAATTGTACAGTATTGCGCAATAGCAAGAAATATTTAATAGCACAGGATTGTGCAAAAGAAGATACTTCCTATAAATTGCTTATTTCTTGACCAATTTAATGGGGTTTTATTCTTGATTTCATGGGGTTCTTTAATATGCTGAATCTAACTGTGTATTTAGTTTTTGGATTTTGGGCCCCGTTTTTAAATTGGTCCACATTGAGGTCCAAAGGGTCCAAAATTAAACTTTGTTTGATTTCATCAAAAATTGAATTATTGGGGTTCTTTGATATGCCGAATCTAACTGTGTATTTAGATTCTTAAATTTTGGTTCCGTTTTCAAATTGGTCTACATTAAGGTCCAAAGGGTCCAAAATTAAACTTAGTTTGATTTTAACAAAAATTGAATTCTTAGGGTTCTTTGATATGCTGAATCTAAACATGTATTTAGATTTTTGATTATGGGCCCAGTTTTCAAGTTGGTCCAAATCGGGGTCCAAAATTAAACTTTGTTTGATTTCAACAAAAATTGAATATATGGGGTTCTTTGATATGCTGAATCTAACCATGTATTTAGATTTTTGATTTTTGAGCCCCGTTATCAACTTTGTCCACATTGAGGTCAAAAGGGTCCAAAATTAAACTTTGTTTGATTTCATCAAAAATTGAATTATTGGGGTTCTTTGATATGCCGAATCTAACCGTGTATTTAGATTCTTAATTTTTGGTTCCGTTTTCAAATTGGTCTACATTAAGGTCCAAAGGGTCCAAAATTAAACTTAGTTTGATTTTAACAAAAATTGAATTCTTAGGGTTCTTTGATATGCTGAATCTAAACATGTATTTAGATTTTTGATTATGGGCCCAGTTTTCAAGTTGGTCCAAATCGGGGTCCAAAATTAAACTTTGTTTGATTTTAACAAAAATTGAATATATGGGGTTCTTTGATATGCTGAATCTAACCATGAATTTAGATTTTTGATTTTTGGGCCCCGTTATCAACTTTGTCCACATTGAGGTCAAAAGGGTCCAAAATTAAACTTTGTTTGATTTCATCAAAAATTGAATTCTTGGGGTTCTTTGATATGCTGAATCTAACCATGTATTTAGATTTTGGATATTGGACCATAATAGGTGAATGTCCAATTTAAAATTTTTAAGTTCTTAGACCACATTCAATCTGTGTTAGAAACCTATGCTGTGTCAAATATTTAATCATAATCCAAATCCAAAGCTGTATCAAGCTTGAATGTTGTGTCCATACTTCCCCCAACTGTTCAGGGTTCGACCTCTGCGGTCGTATCAAGCTGCGCCCTGCGGAGCATTTTATTATAATGTACTGTGGATTCATTAATATTCGTTGGATACCGATTTCGTGGGTACAGGGGAACAACGAATTTAAATGTTCAACGAAATACAAATTTTCTAAAGGATTGAATGCAGACTTTGCGAAAACCACGAATTTAAATATCCACGAATATGCAAGTTTTCCTCAATCCACGAAAATTGGTACCCACGAAAATAAATGAATCCACAGTATCTAAATAATTTCCTTTGTAAAGAAAACAAGACATTAATAAGGGAGATGTGGGTATAAGTCAATTTGACAACAATCTAATGACAAAAACACATCTTGAGGTCAATATAAGAGGGTCTGGATGGAGTTTACAAAATATAGAATAAAAGGTAAAACATACATAATATAGGGCCAACAAAATGAAGAATAGAGAAAAATAGTCCCAAAATATAAAGAATAAGAGAATAATGCAGTGTTAAAATATTAAGAATAGAGAATAATAGCCTAAAAATAAAAGAATACAGAAAAAAGGCCCCCCTCTCCAGACCCTCATAAATGGCCCTGAGTCTTCAAAACTTGCATAAGAAATAAATATATAAGAGATTATCAGAGACCTGCTATCAACTTTAAATTCACAGAAAAAGAAAATCCACTAACAAGATGTAAATAGAAAAAAGTACTGATGAAATTCCTGACTTATATGGCCAAAGTGTCAAAAACAATTATATTTTAACTTGTAAAATTTTAAGTCTTCCGTCACCTGTCCCTAATGTTCATTGGTTATTACCTCAAAGAATTGGTTTTTGACTGAAGACTGATGCAAATTAAAACTCTGCACACATTAGAAAAAGATAAAAAAAAATATCACGAAGTAGCAACTGAAATTCCTTACATTATAATGCTTCAGAATTTGTGATATCATAAGTCCTTTTTTGTTGCAGAAGAGAAACAGACAGGGAATTTGAAAAAGTGATAACACGTCTGAGGAAAGAAAATGACAAATATCGACAAGAAAGGGACAACACTCTGCAGAGATTATCTCCCATGACTTCATTGAAACATGAAAAGGAAAACCTCCAATCACAAATAGAAAGACAAACTCGTACAACTGATAATTTACTAGATGAGATAGCACAGCTAAAAATAGAACAAAAAATACATCAGAGAGAAAAACTACAGTATGCAGATGAGTTATATGCAGAAAAAGACAATAGCAGAAGGAAATGTTTGCAGATTGAGAGAAAATGGCAGGAAAGTATCGACAGGTAATTACATTTAGGTGTATGACCATCTGGATGGGGGTCCTTAATTTCTGTATTCCTTAAGTTTTTCTTTATCTTTCAAAATTAACATTTATCCTGTAAAACTCTCATGAAAATGATCTTACAATTAAAATTGTCTGTGATTAGATGATTTATTTATTCTGTACCTTGCAAAAAAAAATAATTGTTCATTTCAAATATTAAAGTACAAGAAATAAAAAGACTTGTCTGTGACAATTATTGATGGAATCATGTGGAATCATATGGAGATTATTTTGTTCAAATCCTTTTGTCTCGCCTTGACGGAGTCAAAAAGCAAGACAAAGGTATGCTGTTTCTGGTGGCGGCGGCAACAATGTATTAATTTGTGATTAGGTCTAGTTTATGGTGAACCACTAGTGGTAGGTCAATGATATTTGGTATGCAGCTGTATTAGCATTGGCACATCTCATTTCGATGGAAATTATTTGGCCCTGCCCCTCAGTCATGGTCTATTGACTTTGAAACTTTTGCTTAGTTTTCATGTATTAGTTTGTGATTAGGTCAGTTTATGGGGAACCACTTGTGGTAGGTCAATGATATTTAGTATGCAGTTGTATAAGCATTGGCATATCTCATTACCATGGAGATTATTTGGCTAAGCTTCCTCAGTCATGGTCTATTGACTTTGAAACTTTTGCTTAGTTTACATGTATTAGTTTGTGATTAGGTCAGTTTGTGGGGAACCACTCGTGGTAGGTCAATGATATTTAGAATGCAGTTGTATAAGCATTGGCATATCTCATTACCATGGAGATTATTTGGCTCCGCCCCCTCAGTCATGGTCTATTGACTTTGAAACTTTTGCTTAGTTTACATGTATTAGTTTGTGATTAGGTCAGTTTATGGGGAACCACTCGTGGTAGGTCAATGATATTTGGTATGTAGTTGTATAAGCATTGGTATATCTCATTACCATGAAGATTATTTGGCTCCGCCCCCTCAGTCATGGTCTATTGACTTTGAAACTTTTGCTTAGTTTACCAGTATTAGTTTGTGATTATGTCAGTTCAAGGGTAACCATTAGTGGTAGGCCAATGTTAATTAGTATGCAGTTGTATAAGCATTTTCACATCTAATTTCCAATGAGAATATTTGGCCCCACCCCCTCAGTCATGGTCTATTGACTTTGAAACTTTTGCTTAGTTTACATGTGTTAGTTTGTGATAAGATCAGTTTAAGATGAACCACTAATGTTAAGTCAATGATATTCGGTATGCAAATGTATTGGCATTTGCAAGTTTCATTTCCATGGAGATTATATAACCCCACCCCCTAATTATGGTTCATTGACTTTGAAACTTTTACATAGTTTACAAGTTAATGTTTGTGTTTAGGTTTGTTTAAAGGGAACGACTTATGAAAAGTCAATGGTATTTGGTATGCAGTTGTATAAGCATTGGAACATCTCATTTCCATGGAGATTGTTTAGTCCTGTACCTTCAGTCATGGTTCATTGACTTTGAATATTTGCATAACTTACATGTTAAAGTATTGCTATTTTAATTTCAACATTTGCATTATCAAAATAACAAATAAGCGAGACATATCTCTGTGTTAACAGTTTATTGAAATAAAAAAATACCAAGTTAAACATTTTAATTTTAATCTTTCATCCTATTTTATCCAGAAACAAACGTTAAATCATTGCATTAAAATTGTTAACAGATTGGTCAGTATTTTTTTAAAAGTATACTTTGCATTTTAAACTTTTTTTACAAATTAATTTTAATTTTACTGAGAAATCAAGGTATTTCATTGCAACCAATGTTATAATTATTGTTCCTTGATATGAGCCATAATACTGTTCTAACATTTAGAAAAATGCTTTGTATTATCAAATTGAAAACATCAGTCATCAACAACACAATATATATTCTCCAGGAGTAATAAAGATATAGAAAACGTCAAAACAGCTCTGTTTCAACAAGAATTGGAAAGTCAAATGTATAGAGATCAATGCACTGGTCTGACAGAAAGGTTAAAGACAGCTATGACGGAAGGGCACTCTATAGAAACTCAGTTACAAACAGCTAGGATAGAGATTCAGAAAGAACGGGGAGCACTTGAAGCGTATAAAAAGTCCTCAAAGGAAACATTTGACTCAATGGAAACAGAAATAAACAAAAACAAAGAGTTGATGAAAAAATATGGAGAATTTGTAAATAAGTATGTAAAGATGATAAAAATGCTGTGGATTAGTTTATTTTAGTGAATACCAATAACATAACCGAATAATTCAGTCGTTATATTCCACTGCACTACGATGGCTACATCAACGCCTGAAGGCCTTGTAAAAAAAAAATTGTCAAATAATCATTCGGAATTACCTCAGGATTGACCTATCTCGATAACATTGAGCTGTCAGCTGATTGGCTCTCTCTCACAGACGTGTTTTTATTGTATAAAGAATTCAGGCCCATGCGAGTGGGAGAGTCGATCACAGGGAGGGACTGAATTATTCGGGTTACCAATTTACATGGATTTGGGCGAAAATAATTTTCAAGTATATTTGATTTAGTGATTTTGCCAATGTGTGCATAAAGCATATATATAGAAAATTAGTACTGTGTTGAACATTTAAATTTATGATTCACCTTTACCCTTTAAATCAACACTAATTGATATCCCACAAATAATATAATGAATGCAAAATACATATACCTAAGCTATTCTTAAAAGGATAATAAGTTTTTTAGAATCGTTATTATTGTTTTGTTATGATTCCACCACAGTGGAGGTTGTTATGATTCCACCACAGTGGAGGTTGTTATGATTCCACCACAGTGGAGGGGGCATTAAGTTTCACCCTTGTCCATCTGCAAGTCTGTACGCACATTGGTCAGTCTGTACGTCAAAATATTAGTTTCCCTTATTTGAATTTGGGTGGGGTCACTTTTGCTGTTAGCAAATTTTTAGTTTCCGCACTCTAACTTTACTTTGCCACATCCAAATGTTCTGAAACATATACACAATGCTTATTACTACCAAACACAAATCTAGTTTGAATATTTGTAGCATCTTTTTGCCATTATGTCCCTATAAAAATGGAAAAATTGTCAAATTTGCAGTTTCCGCACTCTAACTTTATTTTGTCACAACCAAATGTTCTGAAACTAATACACAATGTTTATTACTACCAAACAAAGATCAAGTTCGAAAATTGTAGCTTCACTTTTGTTCTTAGTAACTTGCTGAATTTGCTGTATATTTACAAGCGGGCATCAGTGTCCCATGGACACATTCTTGTATTTGTTTTAAAAAAGTATGAAAACAATATCATTTTAAATGACAAAAGATAAAAATTACAATGCATTATCAACATATAATTGAGAATGGAAATGGGGAATGTGTCAAAGAGACAACAACCCGACCATAGAGCAGACAACAGCCGAAGGCCACCAATGGGTCTTCAATACCGCGAGAATCTCCCGCACCCGAAGGCGTCCTTCAGCTGGCCCCTAAACAAATATGTATACTAGTTCAGTGATAATGGACGTCATACTAAACTCCAAATTATACACAGGAAACTAAAATTAAAAATGATACAAGACTAACAAAGGCCAGAGGCTCCTGACTTGGGACAGGCGCAAAAATGCGACGGGGTTAAACATGTTTTTTGAGATCTCAACCCTGCCCCTATACCTCTAGCCAATGTAGAAAAAACAAACGCACAACAGTACCTACAGTATAACTCAGTATAAGAGAAGTCAGAGTCCGATGTCAGAATAGGAAACAAAAGAAAATAAACAAAATGACAATAATACATAAATAACAACAGACTACTAGCAGTTACTGACATGCCAGCTCCAGACCTCAGTTAAACTGATTAAAAGATTATGTCTTCATCATATGAAGAACTTGTTTGTAAACTTGACACGTAAACTAAGGTTCAAATTGGGCACGGATTCAGACAGCCCCAAAACAGAAAAAAAAAGGGATTTATAGGAAAAATAACAGCTAATTTTTTGGGCAAAATATGGTCTTCTAACTCCTAATTCTCAAAAGCACCTATGTACTATATGTCATTTATGTACCACCAATTTTTTTTGTGATAGTTGTTTCAAATGTAATGTTGAAAATAAAGTGATGTTTTTTTTTTGTTATTGCAGACATAAAGACTCAGATAGAATTCTTCAAACATCCTTTGCAGAATTAGAAAAAATTAAGAATGAGAATAATTCATTGAAGTTAGAGAACAGTAATCTTAATAAAAGAGTCATAGATTTGGGCAAGGTGGGTATAAGTACATGTACTGGCAAATTTGTCAACTAAATGGCAAAACTTCTAATAGATGATTATCATGATGGATGGCTGTATAATGTTCAGTGGCAAATTAATTCATTCCTGTCAACTGACCTGTATTTTGCGGGTGTGACCTGTGAATTTACTAGCTTTATTTCAATACCTGTCCGTGTCATGAAATAACCTGGGATTTCATCAAATGACCTGTTTCCACCGTATTCTAGTGCCATGAGACTTCCAATGTCTAAAATGCTAAATTTTCTTTTGATAAACGGCAAATTGGAAATTCTTCCTGGCCTGGAAGATTGATAATTTGCTCCAATTAGTTGATTTACAGCTATCAAAACATAATTTTGACACTTTTCTGATTGAAAGGTAATAATAGTGTTAACGGTTAATCGGACTTTTTTTTCAATTTTAATAGATTTGATATAAATATGTATTGAAAGCATTAAATACATTTTGTTCAATTCTAAAATGATCGTCATGGTAATTAATTTGACAGATCAATTTCCAGTATTTTGATAGCTATTGTTAACCTTGAAAACATAAAATTAATTAGCACAAAGACAACTGGTCTATCAGCTCGGGGCAAGATCTTTTAAGTAAACATAATCAGTATACATATATTTTGAATAGTTGTTAGCCAAGTAAATTTTACGATTTACTTAATTTTTTCTTTTTTGTTGAGCCTGCGACTTTTGTTGGAAAAGCGAGACATAGCGATCCTACATTCTGTCGTCAGTGGCGTCCACAAATATTCACTCTGTGGTTAATGTTTTTGAAATTTTAATAACTTTCTTAAACTATCCTGGATGTCTACCAAACTTGGACAGAAGCTTGTTTATGATCATAAGATAGTATCCAGAAGTAAAAAAAAAAATCCTGTTTATCCGTATTTTACTTATAAATGGACTTAGTTTTTTCTGCCAGTTAACATTACATTCACTCTGTGGGTAAAGTTTTTAAAAATTTTAATAACTTTCTTAAACTATCCTGGATTTGTACCAAACTTGGACAGAAGATTGTGTATGATCAAAAGCTAGTATCTAGAAGGAAATTTGTAAAAATTTACTTCCTGTTTTTCCGTATATTACTTATAAATGGACTTAGTTTTTTTTCCAGTTAACATTACATACAGTCTGCAGTTAAAGTTTTTAAAACATTTATTAGATTCATAAACCATTTAGTTGCATTAATTATTTTGAACAAAATTTTATAATTGCATTTTCTATTTACATGCATTTTTATTGATGAATTATGGGATGAATCATCAAGCAATGTAAAAATTATCTTCTTTATCATTTGTTCATTCAAACAATTTATGTTTCAACTCTTTTATAAATCTATAGATTTGATTGCATATTGTATTCATTTTTTACAAGCATAACTTTTTTCATATATTTCAAACGTTTTATTTCTTTAACTGTAAATCTATTATGTGCATTCCCCTTTAACACTGAAAACATAGACAACAGCAAAAGAAGGGGAGACACTGGGTTCCGCGGAACTTACCTATTTTTATACGACCGCAAAAATTGAAAATTTTTTGGTCGTATATTGGTATGACGTTGGCGTCGTCGTCGTCGTCGTCGTCGTCCGGCGTCGTCCGAAGACACATTGGTTTTCGCACTCTAACTTTAGTTTAAGTGAATGGATCTCCATGAAATTTTACCATAAGGTTCAATACCATGAAAGGAAGGTTGGGATTGATTTTGGGGGTTATGGTACCAACAGTTAAGGAATTAGGGGCCAAAAAGGGGCCAACAATAAGCATTTTTGTAACTTCCAGACAATAACTTGTGTGTAAGTGTATGGATCTCTCTGACATTGTACCACAAGGTTCCATATCACAAAGGGAAGGCTGTAATTGATTTTGGGGGTAATTGCCTCAAAATGTTAGGATTTAGGGGCCAAAAAAAGGGGCAAAAAACAAGCATTTTTCTAGTTTCATGACAATAACTTGTGTGTAAGTGTTTGGATATTTCTGAAATTGTACTACAAGGTTCCATATCACAAAGGGAAAGCTGGAATTGAGTTTGGGGGTAATTGCCCGAAACGTTTAGGAATTGGGGGCCAAAAAGGGGCCAAAAATAAGCATTTTTCTAGTTTCCAGACAATAACTTGTGTTCAAGTGTATGGATCTCTCTGAAATTGTACTGCAAGGTACCATACCACAAAGGGAAGGCTGAGATTGAGTTTGGGGGTGATGAATCATAAGGGGGTTCAAAAAATTTTGGGGGGGGATTTTTTTTTTTCTTTTTTTCCTTTTTTTTTTCTTTTAAAATTTTCCATTTTAAGTTGGTTATTTCTGATTTATATTTAAAAGCAAATAATAATGATATGGTAGGAGATACACACCAAACAGGATGTGTAAATTATTATATAATAAGTATTGTGCAATAGCAAGAAATTTTCAATTGCACAGTATTGCACAATAGCAAGAAATCTTCAATTGCACAGTTTTGCGCAATAGCAAGAAATCTTCAATTGCACAGTATTGCGCAATAGCAAGAAATATCCAATAGCACAATATTGCGCAATAGCAAGAAATTGTCAATTGTACAGTATTGCGCAATAGCAAGAAATAATCAATTGCACAGTATTGTGCAAAAGAAGATACTTCGTATAAATTGCTTATTTCTTGATCAATTTCAATGGGGTTTTATTCTTGAATTCTTGGGGTTCTTTAATATGCTGAATCTAACCCTGTATTAAGTTTTTGGATTTTGGGCCCCGTTTTTAAATTGGTCCACATTGAGGTCCAAAGGGTCCAAAATTTAACTTTGTTTGATTTCATCAAAAATTGAATTATTGGGGTTCTTTGATATGCCGAATCTAACCGTGTATTTAGATTCTTAATTTTTGGTTCTGTTTTCAAATTGGTCTACATAAAGGTCCAAAGGGTCCAAAATTAAACTTAGTTTGATTTCAACAAAAATTGAATATATGGGGTTCTTTGATATGCTGAATCTAACCATGTATTTAGATTTTTGATTATGGGCCCAGTTTTCAAGTTGGTCCAAATCGGGGTCCAAAATTAAACTTTGTTTGATTTCAACAAAAATTGAATATATGGGGTTCTTTGATATGCTGAATCTAACCATGTATTTAGATTTTTGATTATGGGCCCAGTTTTCAAGTTGGTCCAAATTGGGGTCCAAAATTAAACTTTGTTTGATTTCAACAAAAATTGAATATATGGGGTTCTTTGATATGCTGAATCTAACCATGTATTTAGATTTTTGATTGTTGGGCCCCGTTATCAACTTTGTCCACATTGAGATCAAAAGGGTCCAAAATTAAACTTTGTTTGATTTCATCAAAAATTGAATATATGGGGTTCTTTGATATGCTGAATCTAACCATGTATTTAGATTTTTGATTATGGGCCCAGTTTTCAAGTTGGTCCAAATCGGGGTCCAAAATTAAACTTTGTTTGATTTCAACAAAAATTGAATATATGGGGTTCTTTGATATGCTGAATCTAACCATGTATTTAGATTTTTGATTATGGGCCCAGTTTTCAAGTTGGTCCAAATCGGGGTCCAAAATTAAACTTTGTTTGATTTCAACAAAAATTGAATATATGGGGTTCTTTGATATGCTGAATCTAACCATGTATTTAGATTTTTGATTATGGGCCCAGTTTTCAAGTTGGTCCAAATTGGGGTCCAAAATTAAACTTTGTTTGATTTCAACAAAAATTGAATATATGGGGTTCTTTGATATGCTGAATCTAACCATGTATTTAGATTTTTGATTATGGGCCCAGTTTTCAAGTTGGTCCAAATCGGGGTCCAAAATTAAACTTTGTTTGATTTCAACAAAAATTGAATATATGGGGTTCTGTAATATGCTGAATCTAACCGTGTATTAAGTTTTTGGATTTTGGGCCCCGTTTTTAAATTGGTCCACATTGAAGTCCAAAGGGTCCAAAATTTAACTTTGTTTGATTTCATCAAAAATTGAATTATTGGGGTTCTTTGATATGCCGAATCTAACCGTGTATTTAGATTCTTAATTTTTGGTTCCGTTTTCAAATTGGTCTACATAAAGGTCCAAAGGGTCCAAAATTAAACTTAGTTTGATTTTAACAAAAATTGAATTTTTAGGGTTTTTTGATATGCTGAATCTAAACATGTATTTAGATTTTTGATTATGGGCCCAGTTTTCAAGTTGGTCCAAATCGGGGTCCAAAATTAAACTTTGTTTGATTTCAACAAAAATTGAATATATGGGGTTCTTTGATATGCTGAATCTAACCATGTATTTAGATTTTTGATTTTTGGGCCCTGTTATCATTTTTGTCCACATTGAGATCAAAAGGGTCCAAAATTAAACTTTGTTTGATTTCATCAAAAATTGAATTCTTGGGGTTCTTTGATATGCTGAATCTAACCATGTATTTAGATTTTGGATATTGGACCATAATAGGTGAATGTCCAATTTAAAATTTTTAAGTTCTTAGACCACATTCATTCTGTGTCAGAAACCTATGCTGTGTCAAATATTTAATCACAATCCAAATTCAGAGCTGTATCAAGCTTGAATGTTGTGTCCATACTTGCCCCAACTGTTCAGGGTTCGACCTCTGCAGTCGTATCAAGCTGCGCCCTGCGGAGCATTTTATTAATTTAATATTGCGTAGCCTTACATCTTAATATGCCACCTCAATCATCCATGGCTTTGTCATACTTTGTCATACTTTAAACGAAATGCAGACTTAAAAATGGTGAAATGCAAATCAACATGAATGGAACTAATGCATACTGGGTTGCCTAATCATCTCAAATTGAACACTCCACATTATCTTCTGAGATATCAGAGAAGATTAAACAATCAACGGTTTCAGACATTGTCATTTCGACAAAATCAAGATTTTCATCTTCTCAATTTGAAGTTATTTCAAACGTCATAGTAAATACGGAAGTATTGGATTGATAAAAGTAAAACTTTATTAGGAATGCTCAAAGCTAAGCCTTATAAATCCCACGGATGAACTTCAAGTAATCCTATCATTAAAACGCACATTTATAGGGAACTATTGATAAGACCTTTACATGTCACCTTAACTACCGGTTAACAAGTTAATCGGTCGAAAGATTATCTGAGTAACCCGTTAGGCAAAACTGTTCGATTTGACAACATTAATTATAACTATTCACTAATTACCTTGTTAATTTTACCCCAGAAAGGTTGAATCCAGCTTAGCTTGACATACTATTTTATGTCTTGAGTTATAAAATTTGCCTTTTGCAAAAATCAATTTTCCTCTGTATTTATATCTATTGGAGAGATAAAGTCCCTAGACTTTTTGTAATCATTTAATTTTGTTGTAACATAAAGTCTATTTTCCACCTGGGACTGCACAAAATGTAAACAACTGTCAACATTGTCATCTTTCTCCTTATCTTCCTCCAAGGAGCACATTAACTATAGCTGATTTCTTATTATAGTTGGATTTTATGAAATTCATTTATAAAACTATTGTGAATGAAACAATTAGAGGGTATTGCTGTTTTTTATGCAGATACTTTATGTTACAAAGTTTCCTTCTGTCATATGGCCTTTGTCTTTGACCTCATTTACATGGTTCAGCGACTGCTTAAAAAATAAGTATAGGTTTTTTGTCATGTGAATTTCTCACTTATTATGCCCCCGCCTTAGCAGAGGGGGCATTAAGTTTAACCCTTGTCCGTCTGTATGTCCGTACGTCCCAAAATTGGTTTTCCGTTCTCTAACTTTAGTTTGCCTCAACCAAATGTTATGAAACTTGTACACAATGCTTGTTACCATTTTTTTTGTTGGAAATTTTTAAAGTCTTTGGTTTGACCCAGAAGGGATTCAACCCCTAAACCTCCTGCACTCGATGCCTGTAATATACCACTAGACCTATGAGGCAGTTGACTTCTATTCGCACTCCATTCATGCTTATTTTATCTATAAAGGCAGTTCAAAAGGAAGATTTTGTATTAACTTAGGAAAACCCTCATTTTGTCTATAAATTTTAGAAAAAATTGATTTCTACAGGAAAACATACATTTTGCTTAACAGAATAGCCAAAACTTTCGAGATCAACTTTGCTTAATATATTCACTTCATTTAATATGCAACTATTTTTTCATTGTAGGAATCCGAGGTTCCACAGTGTAGTATTTGTATGGAAAGAGAACGTAATGCTTATATGGACCCATGTGGTCACACACTATGTATGGTGTGTGCTACTGAAGTTATGTGTCGCAACAGAAAATGTCCAGTGTGTCGAAAATACATATCTAAAACCGGAGAACTTTATTTCAATTGATTAAGGAGAAAAGGTACGTTTTGGGGCAAAAATTGTCCTATATTGAATTCTTTTTTTCAAAAGTAAAAGTTCCAATGTTAATCTCTGAATTTTTTAAGCTATCCTTAATATCTTGCAACACCTTGGTTTTTATATGCCCCCACTGTTGTCGACGGGGGCATTAAGTGTAACCCTTGACCGCTGTCTTTCCATCCCCCGTCTTTTTGTCCTTCTGTCTTTACGTCTGTCGGTCCTATTTTTGTTGCAAAGCTTGAGGGGGGGATTCATGTCCTTTGACATATTCTTCTTTTATTTTGTAAATCTTTATGAAAACTTTTTCTCAGCAACTACTTTAATTCTTGGTATTTTAAAAAGCTTTCATGTAAACATGTCTTAAGGAGATGTAGGGAGATATACAATGTGACAGCAGCCAAACAATGCTAAAAAGGCATCTTTATTAGTAGGTCACCATAATGTCTTGAACTATAGACAGTTGTTGATAGGATAGGACAAGCTTCAAAATGTCTACATGGCCTGGAATCTAGAAAATATGATGATGATGATGAAGGGTATTTGTAATCTAGAAACGAAGTGATAATGGAATTTAACAGACAAACTAACTACTGTTGTGTCTGTCTTGTTTTGAAAGTGTTGTAATTTATTATTCATGTATATTGTTGATACATTATAACTTTCATTTATTTCATATGAAAATTTCTGAGAAATTTTTTTTCAAGAGAAAAGTTTCAAATATCTTCAAATGTAATTTAAAAACAAGTACAGGTACACAGAATCATCTTTACTTTGCTATAGTTTTGATGTACTAAACAGTATCTTTTGAAAAAAGTTTTGTTTTTAATTTTATCAAAATGTTATTTAAAATTCAACAAAGTGCTTATAAATGTTTTCTTGAATTTTGAGAGGAATGGCACAGAGCTCACACATCACTTGCACATATTTCTCAAACAAATAGTTCATATTCATCTCTTGTTCTAATTATGCCCCCGCCGTAGCGGAGGGGGCATTAAGTTTTACCCTTGTCTGTCTGTACGTACGTCCATCCGTACGTCCCAAAACTGGTTTCCTTTTTCTAACTTTAGTTTGCCTCAACCAAATGTTATGAAACTTATACACAATGCTTATTACCACAAAACACAGATCAATTTTGAATTTTGGTGGCGTCACTTTTACCGTTCTAGAGTTAATGCCCTTTACAAATGGAAAAATTGCTGAATTTTTCGTTTTTGTTCTCTAACTTAAGTTTGCCCGAACTAAATGTTATGAAACTTATACACAATACTTATTACCACAAGATCAAGTTTGAATTTTTTTTGTTTTAGTATTCAATTCTGCAGTACTGGTACGTTAATTCAGCCAGAAACATCTGTTTTACAAATCCTGTTTATTTGACAATGTTTGCACTAAATAATGATATCATATGTATATAGAATGTGATCTAAATTAATAGGTGAAATTTCTTGATGTTTAAAAACATGGTTTTTTATGCCCCCACCATCACAGGAGGGGTCATTATGTGTTAACCTTGTCCCTCCGTCCATATGTCCCAAAACTGGTTTCCGTTCTCTAACTTTAGTTTGCCTTAACTAAATGTTATAAAACTTTTACACAATATAAAAAAGAAGATGTGGTATGATTGCCATTGAGACAACTCTCCACAAGATACCAAATGACACAGAAATTAACAACTTTAGGTCATAGTAAAGCCTACAACAATGAGCAAAGCCCATACTGCATAGTCAACTATTAAAGGCCCCGAAATGACAAATGTAAAACAATTCAAACGAGAAAACTAACGGCCTAAATTATGTACAAACTAAAGAACGAAAAACAAATATGTTACACAGCAACAAACTACAACCATTGAATCACAGGCTCCTGACTTGGGACAGGCGAATACAGAATGTGGGGGGTTAAACTAGTTGAATATTATCACAAAACACATATCAAGTTTGAATTTGGATGGCTTCACCTGTACCGTTCTTGAGTAATGCCCTTTTATATTTTTCATTTCCAGTCTCTAACTTTAGTTTGCCCCAACTAAATGTTAAGAAACTTTTATACAATGCTTATTATCACAAAACACAGATCAAGTTTGAATTTGGATGGCTTCACATATACCGCTCTTGAGTAATGCCTTTTTATGTTTTTCGTTTCCATTCTCTAACTTTAGTTTACCTCGACCAAATGTTATGAAACATACAAAATGGGGCATCATCTGTGTCCTATGGACACATTTTCCATTTATTCAAATTTATGATTCAGATTGGTATATTGTTGCAATTAATTTTTTCACATATTTACAGGGCCAAATATAACTTATCCAAGCCTTCTCCTGGTGTGTATTTTCTTCATTCTTCGTGTGATAATATCAGGATGTCCAAAGATTGAATGCACAAAGTATGAATGTGTGAAGATGACATCAATTTGAAAGAAGATAGAAACTAACACTTATAGTATATATGTATTTGGATATCAAAGTTATTCCAAAGCGGGATTTCCAGATCTGACATATTTAATTTATCTTCAAGACAAGTTTGATATGTTTTATACTGTACATGTATGTCTAGAATATAACTGATCCAGTTGAAATAGGAAAGAAATAAGCATTTATTGTCGTTATCTGTTCGAACATCAGTCATTCAGAATGTTTTGTTGCTGCTCTTAAAGATGTTTTACTAGGCCAAAATTGCAATAGAAATCTGATGGTTTCTTACCAGACCAAATATGCAAAAGAAATCTGGTGGTTTCTTTCCAGACCAAAATGCAGTAGAAATCTAATGGTTTCTTACCAGGCTAAATTGCTGTAGAAATCTAATGGTTTCTTACCAGGCTAAATTGCAGTAGATATCTGATGGTTTCTAAACAGGCCAAATTGAAGAAGAAATCTGGTGGTTTCTTACCAGACCAAGATGCAGTAGAAATCTGATGGTTTCTCACCAGGCCAAAATGCAGTAGAAATCTGTTATCTTTTGAGTCACTGCTATCAGCAAAATTTTTAGAAACAAAAAAAAATGCAGTGCTCAGTATAAAAGGTAAATAGTTACTGTGGATACATTATAATTCTTGGGGTACTAATTTTCAAGCATTTTCTTTGAAAATGTTAACCTTGAAATTAACTGTTCAATGAAATAAAAAATTTTTTTTAGACTTGTTTGAAAAATTAGTTAAAAGTACCAAATAAAATATCCAAGAAAATGCGAGTTTTTTCTCAAGCAACAAAATTTAGTTCCCACGAAAAATAGATGGATCCCCAGTATTTGTGGAAAGGTGTACAATGAGGAATTCCTAATTCCAAATGTTCAATAAGGCCAAACAAAAAATATATGTCTCTTTTAGGGTTATATCATCTAAAAAAATAGGGTAGGTAGATCGGTATCTTCATTTTATTTTTTTTTCAGTTTTATTTTTTGCAACATGATTTTGAGTAATGTGGTCTGTTTTTCATGGTCCAAGTTGACCATGGGCTTAATTAATCCGTATTTTAAATGATTGGTTTTGTTGGAAATAAAATGGCGGCAAGGTTCACTTAATTTTTCCTTTCACAACGGGAATTAAAATAGCTTAGGGTCAGTGATTTACGGATTTCAAATTAGGCATGGTCCGGGTAACCTTAAACAGACATATATTTTTTTTTGGCCTAAATGGAAATTGTCTTGGTTATGTAAAGAGATATATTACCACCAATTAAATAAAAGTTGCTTGTTTCCATAGAATAATGTTTTTCTATTTTATTTTGTTAGGAAGAGGTAATATGCTTTCTTCGAGAAACATAGACAAAAAATATGTGAAGAAGTACTTCACTTGTTTATCACAAAAGTATGATTTAAACAGCAATAAAACATGAAACATAATTCAATATACCACAGAACATTACTTATATCACATTCATCTGAAAGCAGTTTATCAGACAATCTCACTTTGTTTTCAATATGTAATGGTCTGGAATGGGTTAACAGAATAGAGAATAATGGCCAAAAAAAACAAAGGATAGAGAAAAAATGAGATAAAAAAAAAGATTAGAGAATAATGGGGCCAAATTGTAAAGAATAGAGAATTATAGGCAATAAACACGATAAAAATGAAGAATAGAGAAAACTGGTCCAAAAAATAAAGAATACTGATACAGAAATGAAGACCCCTAATCCAGACCTTCATATGTCACTCAAAGCACACAGTTCAATATATAACTACATTCCTGGAAACACAGATTAGTACACAACATTTACATCATACACAAGGCATTCCTATTGGTAGTAGTTGGTTGAAGAATGTTACATTGGTTGCATGCATGCTGTTGTAAGAAGTTGAAAGAATGTTGCTAACATTTTTGAAAATAATCTTAACGTACTACTAGAGGGGTGTTTAATGACCTTGACTACCCATCAGGGTCTTGCATGGTCTTAAATTTGAACACTCATTTTTTGAATACATTTGTTTATTTTTATTTGACTTTTTTTATGGCATTTATGACTTTTGTTAAAACAGTTTTGTGCTATACTATAAAGGACAAAAGGGACCAACACACTTGAATTTTTAAAAACTTCATTATTTCATGAATATTATATCAGTTATTAGAAAGAGATGTGGGGTCAAGGTCAATATAACAGCAATCTAACAAAAAAAATAAAAATAAATAAAATATGTAATAATATTTTTAGCAAAAGTATTTTCTTTTTAGGTTTTATTAAAACTTTGTAGCACCAAAATTAAAAATAATGCTATATTTTGCTGCATTTCAAATGTAATGTTTAAAAATAAAACCTTCCCAGTATGTTTAAAAGTGTCTGCTTCTTAGTTATGTAAAGACAGTCAAATGAAGACTATATTGTAAACGATTTTATTTTTGTTAAATGCTATGCAACAGAGATCAGGGATCTGGTCTACTAAAATTATTCATTTTTTCTCAAATCTGAAAAATGATAGAATTTTACATTACATCAATGTTACAGATTAAATTGTGAGACGGACAGTAATTCAGAAATTTACATAACAAATACCATTCATTTTCGGTGATAAATTATTTGTTTCAAAAAAATGGTAGACTGACTAGTAACCTATTATTCTGCAGTATTAGTGGCAATTACAAAATTATAAAAGTATCAATTTTTTTTACACCAGATGCACATTTTGACAATACATGTCTCTTCAGTGATGCTCAAAGCCAAAATGTTTGAAAATTAAAATCTTTTTTAAAAAAATGAAGAGCTCAGGACAAAACTATCTAGATATAAATGGGATTCTCCAAATGTTTTAGTGTAAAATTGGAAATCTTTTCCTGAAAACAAGTCTTCCGACACTGAGGTAAAATCTCCTATTTGTGAGATAAAAGGTTACCTTATTTTGTGCCATTATATCATTACAAGTAGTTGTTTTTCCTGTTCAAAAAAATGTTTATCAATGAATATTTGTACCATGTAGAGTTCTCTAGCTACCTGATATTTTGTTTCATATTGTTACTTTGGATTCATTATTGTTCGTAGGATACTAATTTTTGTGTGTAGACTTCTTGTGTACAAGCAATCTTGAATTGAAGTATTCAAAGAAGAACACATTTCTATAGGCTTGTATGCAGACTTTTTCAAAACCATTAACTGAAATATCCATGAAAACATTTTTTTTTTCATGATTGACAAAAATTGGTATCAACGAAAATGAATGAATCCACAGTAATACATTTATCATTTATTTATTTGATGATGATTGTAGAAATATGTTGAATATGAATGATTAAAAAAAAAAACTAAAATAAAAAAAAACATGAGATAGCCCCAAATCATCTTTTGTCAGAAGAAGATCTCCTATGTTGCAGGATTTAAAGGTTGAATTCTATGCTGCTGTATTAAGTTTTAATCAATTATTACTTTAAACTGTGATGTTTATATTTATACTTTATTTTTGTACAAAAAGCAATAAATTATTTATATTTTTTTCAGAGTTGTATTGTTATATCTTTTCCATTTTCTGTGAGATTGATGTTAGTGGACATTATTCACATCAGACCTAATTTTGTTTGCTCTTTGGGTTTTATATGACCAATTTTGAAGAGAATCTGATAAATTGCCATCAAATTTATTTGAAAATGCATTAAGGTGGAGGCCATTATTTGTCTCCAGAAATTGCACATAAGATAATGATTTTCAATCCTTTCAAAACAATATTAGTTTTATTGATCATTATAAAAGAGGATGATATATTTTGGACACTTCAGTTCTGAAATGTCACTTGTGATATCAGTTTGTTGTCATAAACATGTTGAATGTATAGTACCCCAGTAATTGCCTCTTTAAACTTACTGTAAAGCAAAAGGATTTTGAGGCAAGGTTTTTTTACAAGATATTTTATAAAAATATATATTAGATATACGAAGATGTGGTATGAGTGTCACTGAGATAACTCTCCATCCAAGTCACAATTTGTAAAAAGTAAACCATTATAGGTCAGCACGGAGCCTTGGCTCACACCGAACAGCAAGCTTTGAAGGGCCCAAAAAAATTACTAGTGTGAAACCATTTAAACAGGAAAACCAACAGTCTAATCTATTTAAAATTGAGAAACGATAAACACTTATGAACCACATCAACAAACGACAACCTTTGTATAAGACATTTTGTAGCATCTCTCCATTACGCCACCAGAGACCAAAAGACGGCATAGATGTCAAGATTTATAGGTCAACGTACCGCCTTCAACAATATTAAATATCTACTACTTTCCAGTATGTTCTTTTTTGTCCAGGCCCGATTTGGTGGTGCTACGTCTTACAAAGTCTATCCAAATTACTTTTGCAAATTCCGCTCTAGCTTGTGCTAGTGGCCGTCTTAAACTTGCCGTGAGGAGAGGGTTTTTTTTGCTCCGTGTTGAAGGCCTCAGTGTGACTAGGAGATGAAGAACAGCAATAAAAGCGCTGTTCCTTTGCTTTTTGTGTGTATTTTGCTGTTCATGTACTGATTTTGTGTCATGGATGAATACCCCATATCCTTTGTTTTTCTATAAGAATTTCAGTTGAAAGTGCTTAACTCATCAGATCGACACGAAGCAGAAAACATCTAACGAAAACACAGACCGGATGTGGCAAGGTATTTATACATCACACAACAAAAAAGACACCAAGTACAGATCTGAGAGAACTCGCATTTACTGACAGGTAGTTCAAAGCCAATTACAACTAATAGAAAATCATGTATCAAGACTTAAATATCAATCAATACACACCCAACATCTAATGGATTTAGTGTAAAGACGTCATTAACAGTCCGAGAAAAACATGAACTTGTACAATGCTTAGATACAGGTATCGACAGATTGTTGAACCGTGAATGTGCATACGTATATAACAATACTATTTAGTATGGTTTACATTTACTGATAACAGAACAGCAAAATTCATAACTTAATACTATATCAGTAATACATAGATTACGTTCATCGAAACCCAAAACGTCCATACAATATAGACAAGGGCATAGCGAACCAGTTGTGATATATAAACACCCTAAGATGGTACCAATAGGAACATCACCGTTTGTGTTTAAGTGTATGGATCTCTCTAAAATTATACCACAAGTTTCCATTCCACAAAGGGATGGTTAGGATTTGCTTTTGGGGGTAATGGCTCAAACCGTTTAGGAATTAGGGGCAAAAAAGTGGGAAAAACAAGGGTGTCCTGGTTAATGGACAAAACTTTGGTACAAAACATAATTTAAAGCAATGTAAGGGAGGTAATTCAAACTTATCATTTGAATTACCTCCCTTATACTGCTTTTGAATTATGTATAAAGAAATGGGTAATGGACAATTACTTAAGACAATTTAAAAGCAGTGTAAGGGAGGTAAACCAAACACAACGTTTTGATTACCTCCCTTACACTGCTTCTAAATCATGTATAAAGAAATGCATATTTATAAAGGAAGACCAGTAAAAATAAATGCAAATGTTGGATTTTTTTTTTACAAAAAAGTCCATATGAAAGATTTGTCACCATATTTTAAATTCTATTATAAAATAGATTAAGTTAGCACTATGGTAAATTTAAATGGGTAATTATGGTTGCAAACTCCATTGGAAATTTGAATTGAGATTATGACCATATCTTGAGGGAAAGAATTTTTTGGGGGGAAAAGGGGGGGGGGGGGGAGTAAAAAGAAAATGTGGAGGGAGGGTCAATTTTTTCTCATTACAGATTATAGAAATTAAAAAGAAAAATGCTTCAAATATTATTTTTTTGGGTGGGGGGGGGTGGGGGGTCAATACGCAACAGCAAAGTGTATTGCACAAAAGCAAAACATTGAATATAAATTCAAATCATATAACCAATTCTAAGTTCTTTGACTACTGTTATTCTGTGTCAGAAACCTATTATGTGTCAAATATTTAATTACAATCCAAATTCAGACCAGTATCAAGCGCGAATATTGTGTCTTTTTTTGCCCTAACTGTTCAGGGTTGGACCTCTGCGGTCGTATCTAGCTGCGCTCCGCGAAGCAATTTATTTTTATACATTTTCACTAGTATCCTA